ACTCGCAAAAATACGGAGGCTCGATTTTCACGATAGAGCTATAGTTCCTTGGGCAAAGTTTCTTAAAACGACCCGTAGAACACCGCTAGGATAGGTAAAACATCGAAAAAAAATTTGACCCGCCCTAATATACGCACATAAACAACGAAAACAAGAGAAAGATCATATCATCGATAGAAAATTAAAGACCATGCAGAGTCGCGGAAAAGTGCTTTTTTTGTATTCAGCACACTCAGTAATACAGAAGATTTCCTAGTTTTAGCAAGAAGTATTGTTAAAAGTTTGAGAACCATAAGAGCCGGGAATCATAAGACGCGGTTTTGTCGCGATGTCGGGACCAGAGATCAGCACGGGTCGAAAATTTCTGGCCCGATCCGACAAAGAATACTCGAGTCTCGTCCGATCCGAACAGTATTAAAAATTTTATAGATCGGTCGGTCCAGTCGTTTCCAGTAGAGATGTGCAGGGTAACTGTTTACGGGGCCCTTGCCCTGCCCTGTGAAACGTTTCTGAGCCCTGGTCCTACCCAACCCTTTGAAAATTTGAGAATTTTTCATTTACAATTATTTTTTTATTTTTTTAAATAAATGAATCATGTTGATAAAAATTCTCTTTTAAAATTTCGTAGCAACATAATATCATCGACCGTTTCTTTGTCCAGCCTTTGTCGACGCTCTTCTAAAACCCCTCTTTTTTTATATTGCCAATTGCACCAAAAATGGGTGTCTTGCATCCGATAAAATAAAGAGTTTAAAGAACTCTTAGAGAAAGAGTTAGTGCCGCTAGCGACCGACCTCAATGTTGTACTAACTCTTTTTTAGGCGAAGCCCTAGCCCTACCCTACCGTGTGACTTTAAAGTCCTGCAGGGTAGAGTAGGGTAAGAGCGCCGTACACATCTCTAGTTTTCAGTTGTTTACAGTCTGTAGCATCTTTAACGGTAATAGGCCTGGTTGACAAAATACTATAAATGTGCTTCTAACACAACTCTATCATTTAATTTCCATGGTTTTTTACAATCTTGCATTAGATAAACTGTTTATTCAGCTACATATTAGAAAAAGAAATATTATAATATTCAACTGATTTTATCGATGTATTTAACCATATGTTCTCGGAAAGAAAGAGAAGTCCTCGGCCCGGCACGACCCAACAAACAAAATGTGAGGCCTAAGCCCAGTCCGTTGTAACCGATTTTAAAAACTTTCTGATCCATCCCAGTCAGACCAAAACACGTGCCGATCTCTGATCGGGACGGATCTTGTTAGAAGTCTTGGCATCGTGGCACGATCCCGTAGAATCCTAGGCGAATTCTTCGCGAGTCCAGTCGCTATTCTTACAGCACTTCTAGAGCAGAATACAGGCATATCATCGATAGAAAATTAAGATCATGCAGAGGTACGGAAAAGTGTTTTTTTGTATCCAGCACACTCGATAAGCCAGAAAATTTTCTATTTTCGGCGAGGGGTACTGCCAAAAGTTTAAGGAAAGTTTTGAAACTAATATTATTTTTCTACAGAAATTCGTTTTCATCATTTTGTTCAAAAAGTTTTCCTAAACTTTTGACAATACGTCTTGCTTAAAATAGAAAATCTTCGGGATTATCGAGTGTGCTGAATACGAAAAACCACAGAATCATGCATAGTGACTCACTTCGGAAGTTCTTGGACTCAGGACGGTGTTCCGCAAAAATTCTTAAGGGCTCGACTTAACTAAGTCTAGACTTAAGTGTATAAAATTAATATGTAAGTGTAGAAAACGGAGACTTAGTTAAATCGAGCACTTAAGAATTTTTATGAAACACCTCCAGGATCGTGTCGCACTAAAACCTCTTATCGTGAGTCATGGCAAATATGTTTTGATTTAGAAATCAAGTAGAAACCACTCAATTTGCTTCCGTTTCATAATCACTGTGAATCATGGTGCAAACGTTTTCCTAAGAAAAAAAGCAGATTACGAACGTAACGACATATTGACTGAAACTGTGTTTTGTTCTTCTGTATAGAGGTGTCGTAACAGCTTCTGATTCGAGAGTTAAGTCTGTACGACCAGATTGATTGAGTGGATTCAACTTGATTTGTAAATCAAATGCTTTTTCATATGCCAGAGAAGAAGATAAATCGTTCTGAGATGTGTATATGAATGTAGCTTAATATTTAATTTTTGAAGAGTAACCAGCATGAATTCCTGCTTCAATGGCGAATTGCAGCAGTTTCAAATGGAACTTCGTATGCATTTTTCATAACTTTTACAAATTAATAAAACTCATATTATTATTTTTGTGCTGTTTCAGGTGCGCAGAATTTTGATATTATTCGTTTTTCAACGTATCGAACTGCCTGCAAACTACGTTTTATACAAAAGAAATTGAACTGTAAGTTAGTGACAGATGACAGAATTTTGTCTTATATTTGTTTACTTATCTTTCTAGTGCATTTACTCGATCTTCCGAATGTTATTGAAGCACTTCGAGAATGTTCAACGTGGGTTGCAACAACTACGCCGACAAGTAATCGCAGTCTCACTTCATCTCCTTACAACAGTAATTTATTCAAATCTGATTCTTTATCATCACCACCGACTATAACGACAACAGCAATACTAGATCGTTCAACATTTTCGTCCATGCGACAACCTCAAAAATACATGATCTCATCTTCACGTTTAATCACATTTTTAACTTCTATTTATACAAATCTGAATAAACGTTTACCATCATCTCAGCAACTGAACATCGAACAATGTGTTAAATGTTCAACAGCGTGGTTTCTATTTGTCTACGATTCACAGTACTTACAATCGATCCGGTTGAGTTCATTCAAAGTTGCCTCAATTTTATTATGTGCAGGAAAATTAGCTGATAAAATGAAATATTTGTTTACAACAAATTCTCAATCCTCCACATCCTCATCATCTCAAACAATGAATTCACAACAGATCGATGAATTATTACATGAAATACTAGCAATTCCACAGGCACTACAGGAAACACCATCGTTCCCGTATCGAGCGAATCTTGCACAAAGTTTCTTTCCAAACTCATCGATGTCAGTTACATTACCAGAATTTCTCGAAACATTAATTTTAAGTGATTCAGTTCCGACTTGTCTACAGTGGCTAATCATCTTTCATCGCCTAATCAGTGTCGAAAATGGTAATAATATATAAAGCTTTACTTTATGCCTGCAATACAGACTAAAAATATAATAATGTTTCTACTCTCTAAATAATAACGATCTATACAAATGAATGTTTTGTTTCTGTTACAAATTGTATTTTCGTTTTTGGTTGCAGTCATTCATCGCGTCCGCTGTTCGGCTTGTCAACGTCCTTCATTTTCTGGCTTTCGTTATAAATGTCAACAATGTCGTCATGACAAAAATTACAGTTTATGTCAAGATTGTTTTTGGCGTGGACGTATATCAGATGACCATCAGTTAGACCATGAAATAAAAGAATATACATATTTTCAATCTCCTGTGAAAGAATTTCGACAATCTTTAAGACGATCATTTCAATGTGTACCAAAGAATGATGAAAATAAAAAACGTCAAGCAACTGGATCACCCTCACCATCGCACAGTTTTTTCTCATGGAAATCACGAAAATCTCATCATCATTCAACATTATCGTCGCCTTCTTCGACACAGCCGTCAAGTCCACTAACCGTAGGCAAAGATGACAACCATATAAAAGAGCCAATAGTTCGTTTAATAACACCAGTAATACAATCAAAATTTAATCATCAAAATGATTTAACGGAATTGAGTGGAGTTAACGATGACGAATATCAGCAAAATGAATATCAAACACAACGGGTATCAACAATAAAGTCGTCACCAAAATTACCCAACCAACGATTACGTGCACCGATGACGGGCATTTCAAGTAAAAGCAAATTTCAAGTAGAATGATTGTGAAATAAGCCGTTAATCAGTTCTTTAAATCTAAATATTCTCGTTTGATGAATCGAATTTTTCGTTTAGATATGTCAACGACTGGAATCAGCAATAATAAACAACAATATCTTGACACAGACGAACATGTAGAAATAGCATGTTATGCACAACAATTGGCGTCGCTAATGAAAAAAAATACAACACAACGTTTTTCATCGTCTCCAATGAATTTTCAAATAAATAATCATTATCACCATCATCATGATTTGTTATCAAGCGGTCATAGTAACACTATAATGATCGATCAACCGCTTGAAAAAAGATTAATGATAGCAAAATTAGAAGCGAAAAATAGGTAACAAATAACTTTTCTATTGCGATATTATTCTAATATATTTTATCATCTTTCAGACGTATTTTGCGTGAGATAAACAAACTGCGTGATCAACTCAAACGCCGTGGCTCATTAGATTTTGCTGATATACATGCTCACAGTGATACTGATGCGTCGTCTTATCCCTATTGTTTATCGTCTTCGTTGGCTACCATTCCCATGAGTATAGTTGAACGTAATGTTCATACATTACCGCATCAGCATTCTAGTCCACTTCATTATTTTTCACCATATTCACAACAGCAACATTATCATTTCACAACTAATAATAATCGTTTTTCAAATGATCAGCAACGTAGTCGTAGTCAACAAACATGTTTAATAAAACGTGGTGGTAGTGATTACATTGGACATGAATTGAATACCCTAATTAAACATAAACAAGAATTGGAGACACGCATTGATCATTTACAACAGAGCAAAGAAGAATTAACGTCACAATTGGATACGTTATCGAAATTACGTAAATATACACCATATCAACAGCAACAACGTACAACTCCAAAAGGGCGTTTGAGTATATCACCAGAAAGAATGATCTCTTCTTCTAATAATAGAATGGACCGAAATATGCCATCTTTTCGAAGTTATTCAACACCGGCAACACCCACTATTGAACCTTTGTATTCTTCCAGTCAAGACGGTACGTAATTATTGACAAAACCTCCTTTTTAAAAGTTTATTATTTTTTCGTTCAGATTTTGATACAAACGATTGTTATCCAGCGCCGTCAACAGCTCAGTTGCCCGCAACTGACCATGCTAAATCATTACGTACTGACTTGTTAATTGCGGCAGATTCTTTAACATCAGCAATGTCAAGTCTAGTTAAACAATTAAATACAGGTGTCATAAACGAAATACTCATAATAGTACAGAAATACATTTTCTTTTATTTCTAGAGAGTGACGAGTCACTTGTTGAAATATTCTCAAATCACAATAACAATAAAAACAATCATCATCATGAGCATGACGATGACGATAAAGATGATGAAAATAAGAAAATAATTTATTTTAGTTCACGTGAGAATGATCAATCCAAAACAGCAACAATTGGTCAAGCGCAATGGATCGATGAAAATGATAAAAATAGTAAAAACAATTCACAGCAGACTTTTAATCATAATAGTAATAAAAACAATAACAATAATTATTCGATTTCTCAAGAAATACTACAATCTGAATATCCAAACAATATCTGGAAAACGGAGATGAACGGTGAAAATACAAATCATAAAGATAATAAGTATGTGCAATTACAGATGCGAGAGTATCGTGTCAACTTTAAGAATTTCTTACTTTTTTGTCGTATCGATATGAATTGGCACACCATAGAGGAGTTAACATCGTAATAAAATAAAGTAAAGACGTTAGGTTTTCATTTTTGTGATTGTATTAAAGAATAAACAACAATATTAATTTTTGTATGAAATTGAGCTTGAGTCAATGACTGTCCGCTTTTAGATAGTTTCCTCGCATAAAATCTACTGTATCCTATTAAATATTCTGTTTCTTTTTTTTAAAGTAATTCTGTTGATGAAACTAATGAAAAGGACAACGACAGTGGTAGTCGTACAGATGAAGAATCTTTACTTACAACAGATGATGATAGTTTTCAACAAGAACGGACAACGGACGACGATTTATTACGAACAACCGATGATGAAGATGCTTCAGCGAGAAATAGAAAAGTATGTTTTTAGTTCGTGAATGCATATATATGCCATATTTAAGTTATTCGGGTTTCTTTTTTTAGAATATTGTTGTTCCTGCTGTCGTAGAATCGTCTGCATTGTTAACTAGACATATAGAACAATAAGAAAGATTGTGGTAATTTCATTTTTTTTTCTCCGATCAATATTCTCAGGGCAGACATTTTTGTATTGTTTTTCTCAATCTTTTCTATTTATTTTTACATATCCTAAATAGATTTATGTTTTCGTTTTACCGGAATTGTCAAGCTCATCTACATGTTGAAGTCAAAACGTCTGATGTATTTATTTTTATCTGAAAACACTTTTCTGTATACCCTCATTCTCTTTGTCAGACTACATCTTCTCGCAAGTGTTTCAGAAGGATATTCTGTCAAAAAAATCATCTTATGACTGTTTCCTTATAGTCTTTAAACTATTTCTCTACATAAAAGCAGTATTAGACCAAATAGAAGCGTTTATCCAACTTTGTATACAATAATATAGCAATAGTGGACAATTCTTGTTTAATCTACTTTAAATCTTTACCATTTTAGTTCGTTTCAAAGTACACCAGATACTTTATTCAATTTTTCTTTTCCTTCATTAAAGAAAAAAAAAAAATGACGCAAATATAAATCATTTTAGGAATTCGCTATTTTAAAATCAAAATTTTAAAACGACTTTTTTCCCGCATATACTCATGTCTATATATATTTATGTGTGTGTGTGTTTGTTTTTTAACTCGATCTATATATTGTCTTCGATATTTATCATTGTTTCCTGTTTCTCAAATCGTTTTTCACATAAAACGTAAAATATTTATTGTCAGGATATACATACTTCTGTATCCATTTTTTTTGTTTTCGCATGAACTCTGTATCTTTTTATTGTTTTTCGTTTTTCTTCTAACTTAATATTATATATATGTATAAATATATATATATACGCATCTTCTGGCTGTTCAAGTTCATCTTATAGAACCAAAACAAGACATTCGCGAGAATTTCAATCAAAATTTTAATACAGAGATAGGTGACTTAAATTGAACCATTAGTCCAAGATGATATTTCATTCGAGATACTAATGTGAGAAAATGTGCACTGAGTATAAAAAATCGAACGATTACTGTTTTACTTTTGAGACTGATCAAACTTATACATTCCAGTAATTCAGTTCGTGAAAACCAACTTACCGCATCAAGAAGAGTCTTATTCTGGTTGATAAAAGATCTCTGTTATAGACAAGGGCCTGCTGATTATTACGTTCAATGTCACAATCGAGAAGTTGCCGGACTCTATCTCTTATCACAATTATTACGAAAAATGTTGTTATTTCGTCCAAATTGGTTTGATTATCGATAAGATATCATCAGTGAAGTATAGCGTTAAAGATTCTACTGCTGTTTTAAATGATTGGTGTTGATAAGAAAATCTCATATTGTTAATATGTTATTTAGATTAGTGTTTAGATAAAAGTTCGTTTTTTCCTCATTGCCGCTGTTGAATTAACTTCAGACGTGGAATTATCCAAATTATTACACCTGTTTTATCTTTTTTAAATACATGCAGCTAAATGAACGTTTGTTGTAGATTCAAAAAAGATATATGTTTACAGTTGTTCACATCCTTTTGTTTTCTATAGAAACAAGAGCTAAATTTGCTCTCTTTTCTTACAAACCTAAACGTAAATCCTGTACTATTTATTGTGTACCATAGGATTTTGTAAAGGTTAGGAATGCAGAATCTTTTGGTATCTAAATAATTCTTTTTTAACATTATATGTGTCAGAATGCCCCAATTCAAAGAAAGATTATTTTTCTGGTCGCAGTAATAATTTAGTTTATTACTTTAAAATGTTTAAAGAAATCACCAGGGTTTGTTCTAAATCAAACATACTCTCAAAAAAAAAGTTGCTGTACGGAACTTAAAAATTTTTCAAGAATTGAAACCATTTCTAAACCTTCTTTAGGTTTTGTACGAACAAGGTTTCATACGATACCTTTTTCCTCTGCTTTCAGAAAAGGTTCCGTAGAGATTTTTTCCGTACTGATTCTACGTATGGATTTTATATAGTTTATTTTTGTATATTTGTCGTGAATTTATTTATTTCTACTACCTAGCAACAAAAACAACCGAAAAAATGCAAGTATCACCAAAGTAAAGCCACTTATGCACAAAACTTGTCGTTTGAGAATAAAATCATCTAATAAAAATACGCGTAAATATGAATTGTCTAAATAGAGTAAAAGAAAATATTATCAAAAAATTGGCTGACTTCGCATACTGTAAAAATATATCATCTTACCAAAGGCACAAAAAAGAGAGAGGGCAAAACAGATTAGTCAGTTTTGATAATACAAAAAAGCCATCTACGGATAATAAAAGTTACAGAACCTAGTATACTTCCAGTTACCTTGGGGTCTTCAGAGGGTATCCAGAAAATTTTCTAGCTTTAATTACATTGAGCGCTTTTTCCATGGAATTAGAGAAGTTCACAACATTTCTCAGCTCTCCTGGCTGCGAACAAAAAACAAGCGCCCTCTCATATGAGAGTAGCACAGATAAAGGTATGGTACAAAACGTTTTCTACTACTACTATACCTTCAAGAACCGTTATGAAACCTGTTCGAATACGAAACCTTGAAGGGTACGATACAAAATCTTGAAGGGTATCATACGAAACCTCTTCGATTACTAAACCTTAATGAGGTTTCGCAGATACGTACCATACCTGATTGGTATGGGAAAGTTCCACGGAACCTCATAAGTTTCATATTATACCTTTTTTTTTTTCAAGGTATTATTAGACATTAGAATTCAATTCAACGTTTATTTCAACAAACATGTTCGATATCTTTATGTTAAAAGTTTGAATTAACACTGCTTTGTGGTCACCATTGCCGCTGTTCGATACTGCCAGTGTCAGTTTCAATAGTCCGATATCGTCCTCTTCAACTAGCAAGCTTTTGACCAGATCATGCATGTCTTTATTAGTTATCAGTTACAGCTCTGTAGAAGAGTATGGTGATTGCAACGTTTGATGTCATAATCGAGGAATTGCCGGCTGTTATGTCATTGACATAGTTTTCATGCCCAGCAGACCTTGCGGTAGTAGGAATTATTCTTTATTATCATAAGCAGAGGTGACATCAAAGACTAACTGCGACAAAATGTACAATTAATAAGCAGTAAAATATGCTCTACATTTTGAGACAATGCTTTAATGCTGTTATTGTTGCTGTTACATAACTAAACCTAAATAATAATGCAGTGAAAAAGGTTCAGTTATGGGAGTTGATTAAAGTCTTGCTCAAGTTTTTGTTATAAAGAATACTATCAATATTTCATACATTGTAGGAATATCAATAAGATTACTACTGACAGATGCTAGTCAAAATATTCTATGTATACTTTTCTCGGAGATTGTAAGGCCTTGAGTATGTATGCAAACAAGTTCTACTCGTAATAGAAGAAACACTTTTATTTAAAGTTTTAGTAAATTGAAAATAATATTGATAATTGAGATTTGAGGTATAAGAACGATGAGGAAGAATTTGTATACTCTTTAGTTTTTATAAAAATAAAAATTTATTTTCCGAATTATCGCGTTAAGAAGTTTCTCATATATTTATCTGCTTGTTCAGACTTGTTTAAAGACTGCATGAATCATAAAAGCGTTTCTAACAATCGCAATTATATGTCCAGTAAAAATAAAGTTTAAATTTGCATTCGATGCAATTGAAGACAGTGAGATCGAGGTAGTTGTTGACCCTATTAGACTCTGTGCTGACTGTTATGATGTATTTTGAGTATACATAAGTGCAATTGTGCTATTATAAGTCAATGATGATTCACTGAAAACCAAGGTTGTTGAATTTATTATTGTAGTAGTATCATTGCTACTGTTTCGTGAAGCATTTATATTTGATAGATTGTTAATACCGCAGATATCACAAAACACGAAAAGACTTTGAGCATGGTTATGTTTCGTTTGATGTTGGTCAGAAAAATAGCCTAAAAGAAGAATACACACCATGGTTTTCACACATTTTAGCTGATGATTGGAGAAATAGCAGTTTTGTTGAGCAAATTCATTCTCAGATTTAAGAGTGGTGTGTATTCTTCTTTTAGGCATTTTTCTGGCCAACACCAAACGAAACATAAATTAAATCATCTTTCTATTGGGAGACTCCGGTTGACTGGCATATCATACTAACTGAGCTTCTAGTCAATGCCTCTAATCTGCGTATTTTTAAAGTTTAATAATTTCTGTATTAGCTGCGTTTATTACCGTATAAGTATCTTACCGTATAAGTATCTTAATACATTGATTCGTTCGCAATTACAGGAATAATTCTCCCAAAGTATTCGCCCATATTTAGATCATGGACGAGTACTTTTTACTCCTCAATTTCCAGCCCGTGAGTATCAGCTACAGGAATCCCAGAGCTCCTGATTTTGGCAGAAAAATTCTAATTTTTGGAACTTTTTCTGCCTCGTTTCTGCTCTTTTTTGTTCAAAAAAAGCTTTGGATCTGATATTCCTGATCAGCTAGCTACAATTACTCTACCTTGCGTACTTGTAGCCAGTCAAGATATATCGTTTGGTGAGTGTTTTTTGAGATCCCAGCTAGCTTATGGTCACAAACCAGAGAACTTTAGTACTTATCATTGATAGAAATGTTGACGAATATGTTCGTAGAAATCCGTGTTCCTACACTTAAAGAAATAACAAATATAATGCACAGTGATATTAATGTTGACAGTTTTTGCAGGTGTACAACTGCAGTCGAACGGTGGTATGAAACATATATTGTTCAATAGTACCACTAATACAAATACCGATGTGTTTATTTCTCAAGTATTTCTACGACACAATTGGCTATGTTCAAATAGGAATACTTGGTAAATGTATAAACAATACGCAAAGCAATGGCAGATAAAATATACAAGTTTCCGTTTTAAGAGTTTGGTTTCCTAATTTCGGCGAGATGTTCGTTGGATGTTGGCTAGATGTGACGGATATGTTTGATGTGTCCACTAGGGTTGATGTGGATATATCGTCTGTTATCGTCGAATCGATGTTATTATCGGTGTTACTAGAGTCGCTCGTGCTAGCAGTGTTGT